TCAGGCCTGGCTGTGGCAGCCCTGCCCCACACTGAATTCCCCCACATGCTCTGGGGCTGAGGTCATTGAATCTCTCCGGGGCCTTCCCTATAGGACTGAAGTGCTGATCCAGAGACATTAGCTGGGTGACTAGCTATTTGTGTACTACCAAAAAGTACCCTGGGAAGGCCAAGTGTAGGCACCTGTTCCCCAGCAGTCCTGGGAAGATTGCTGGGTGAGAGTGCAGACATCTGTCCCCAGAAGGTGAGTGGAGCCTGCCTGCCTCAGGGCTCCGGCTGGGTGAGTTGCAGACCCACCACCTTCCCTGACCCCTACTGTGCCAGCTCTGATGAGGGTCAGGTCCTCCTCAGGGCCTTCCCCCCAGCACTGTGGGGGAGCTGCTCTTGTGTCCTTTCCCAGGATAGTGAGAGGGAGGGAGAAAAGGGCAGGCCTGCCTGGGAAGTTTCCACTTGAATGTTGGACCAGAGCATTCATGGGAGTGCTGAGAAAGGAAGGACAGCCTAAGAGGAGAGCATTTCTGATAATCTTGTGAGGTGGTTTTAGTTCCACTTTTACAGATCAAATTGAGGCCCTGAGAGGTTATGGAACTTTCCTCAGGTCACCCAGTTAGTAAGTGGTGGAGCCCAAAATCCGACTCAGACTTCTCTGACTCTGAAACTTGGGCCTGTCCTATTCCTCTTGGCTGCCCGGGAAAATTCTGTCTAGCTCAGGAGGAAATATCCACTATTAACTCTGTTATTCTGCTATTGTCTGGTTCCTGCCTCCCCCATTACCTCCAAGACTTGGCTAGAGTCTGTGAAGTTTCCTCTAGAAAATAATACTGAAAGGAAACAGCTGCACTTCCCTGTGTCCACACCAGGAACACCATCCTCCTCCTGCAGAACTGAGTGAGTGCTCTGGGCCAGGCTGCGCCAATCTCGGCACGTTGGGAATTGCCCCTGGTCTCTGTCCTTGCATGTCTCATTTGGTAATTCCTGACAGACTGAAAACCACATTCCCTGGTGCCCAATCTCATAAATCTGGCCTGTGTGGTTGGTTGAGTTTGTAAAACTGTGGGAGGTAGGCCCCCAGGATTTCCCCCACCCTGCAAGTGGTGCTAGGCCTGGTCTCTGCCTGCTTAGTTTTCCTCAGACCTCACCACACAAAGTGGTCAAGCCTTCCTTATCTTCCCCTTTTGGCTTTGGGCATTTCACATGCTCTCTGACACTCCCGCCACCTCAGGTCACTATTTCTCCCCCTCAACGCCTCACAGCAGTAAGATGGCAAGGAACTTTCAGTTCTGAGTGTGGTGGGGAGAGGAGGGGAGGAGGCTAGAGCAGGGAGAGTTGGGAAGGATTGAGAGAGTCTGTGTCTTCTGATCATGAACTTCACTCCTGTATTCATTTATTTGCTCATGTATGTGTGTAGGCTGGGTGGGAAAAGACAGGAAGAGGTGGAGGCTGGAGGTGTGATATACCAACCAGGCCCCACACAGTCCAGCTTTGCTCAGTCTCTTCAAAGAGGCGCAGTCCATCAACCAGAAGTCTTTAAACAGGACTCCCAAGCTCTACCTGCATGGCCTCTGCAGCAGATTGACTCAGTAGCACTTAGAAGCACCTGTCTTCTGACACACCTTGTAGCTCCTCCAAGTTTCAAGAAACATCCAGCCTATGCAGTGTCTTCTTTTAGTTAGGGTGTGGATTTTGGAGCCAGACTGCCTGGGTTCTAATCCTGGCTCTGAAATTTATCAGATTTGGGCATGTTACTTAATCCCTTTCTCCTCAAATCCCTGCCTCTCAATGGGCATAAGGGCATGTATGGCCTAGGGTTGTAGTGAGGATTATAACGTTAACAGTCGCAAAAGACTTAAAATAGGCCCGATGTTATGTAAGTGTGAGTAGCCATCATTATTGTTATTATTATAATTATTCTCTCTCCCCTTTCCTTTCCTCCCACATCCCCAGTCCAGTCTTTATCAGCCCACTGTCTTTCTGGAGCTTTGGAGGGCTGCTGAGCAGAGCTGTTCTTAGAGGGTGGTGGTGGCAGGTTGGAAGGCTACAGACTCCAGCACAGAAATGGACCTGTACCTGATGATTGAGAAGGTGTGGGGCCCCTACAGGTGATTCTGGAGTGGAAAGGCACTGTGCTGGAATGGATCAGGGCCCTGGGGCCCGCAGCAGGGGTGTGTCTACTGGTGGCGAGAGGACCCCCTGCTTTAGGCTCCAG